GATTGGTTGACACAAAACACATTAGTAACTAAATATAAACAAGCTCCTACTGGTTTTCTTACATGTTTCAATGATATCATTGGTAATAGAAAAAATTGATTGGTGCCCCGTGTTCACCTCACTCCTCCAATTGAATTAACCTACAGATCAAGTACTATAAGGTCAATATAATATGAGCAACAAATCCTCAAGTGGTAAAAAAGCTGCTATTTTTTCAAGCTGAAGTCTTTCTCTTCATCATTTCAGTTAGACAAAGTTCAAGACCAAGGTCTTCTTTTTATTCCGATCAAGCAATAAGACTGAACAGTCTTTAATCCATACTAAGCTCCAACCCTTTGGTTATAGTTAAGAATGCATTTTCTCAAAAGTTGTTGAAGAATATTGCAATCGACAAGGATCACCACTACTACTGTTACCCTCCCACCATTACAAAGCAAAAGAATTATTGGGAAATCTAGCCTTTTTGGTAATGAAAGATGTATACCAGTAAAATTCCTTTAATTAGGTATAGTTGCTGGAAGGTATTACATTGAAACAATATGGTCTAGTCCTTATTAGGTCACATAAGAACCTGGGGTCTATCATAAGTCATCTCTTTACTGCAGGTGGATAAAAAATTACTGTCCAAAAAAAGTTGGAACCAAGTGTGTCCTGGAAGTAAAGGCTTCCACTAGGCAATAAGTCTTCTCAGATGGTACACAAGAAGAAAATCAAGATCAAGAATGGATAAGTTCCTCAAATGATTAGAAAAATAAAGGATATCCTAATCGGGCATTTCTTATTGAGAAGAGGTCTTGAGAAGCAGGTCTTTGAAAGAAGCTAGAAATATTTTTTTTCAATTTTTACTCTTTCATTTTTTTGTTGTTTATTTAGACATTTTTAGATATCTCTCTCTCCTTTTTCAACCCATTCTTTTGTAGTTTCCTGTATTCCAGCGACTTGGTGTGACATATGGTAGTGATAACCTGCTGGCAAGGATACAGTGGACTAGGAGAGTTTTTACCTAAAGAAACTGCAGAGCGAAATATTGTCCCCAAGACTGAACTTAAAGGCTTTTATGCTTAAGACAAGTTAGTTAGATTAGAATAATAATTTATCTGTAGTATGTATCATGCTGCTCAAATGAAAATGTACTTGTATTTTCAATTGATTAATAAACTGACAATCTAGCTTGGCTATGGATACTCAAAAAAAATATATATATACATATAAAATAAGATTTTAACAAACAGAATTACTGTATATATCTGAACTACTAATGAAATTGCACTTAGAAAATATGTATAGTTTAATAAAATAACATATCGTTGTATGTGATGATTTTGTTTTTATTTGTTTTGTTGTGTAAAACGATTACGCGAACCGCTAGAGATTATTTATATAAGATAAGATAACGGAACGACATGCATTCGTGCATAATCATAAGTTACACAGTCATTAAAAAATGACGTGATAAATGTCGAGTTATCAGATCCTGCAAAAGCGATAAAATCACGTACTTCCCATCGTTTCTCTTTTTCTCTTTAAAAAAACTCGTTAATTTCTCTAAAAGAAATGGTCAAGGTAGCTGTACTTGGTGCGTCGGGTGGTATTGGGCAGCCTCTTTCGCTTCTTCTAAAGTTAAACGAGGCCGTTACAGACCTAGCCCTATATGATATTGTTCATACCCCCGGAGTAGCTAAAGATTTAAGTCATATCAATACTCCTGCTAAAGTTGCTGGCTACATGGCTCCAGATGACCTAAAGCAAGTCTTGACGGGCGCTCATCTAGTTATTATTCCTGCAGGCATTCCCCGTAAACCCAATATGACGAGAGACGACTTGTTTAAGGTAAAAATTCTTTGAATGGGCAAAACTATGCAATTCTAATTATTCTTGGGCGAATTTGAATAATAGACAAACGCAGGTATCGTTCGCCAGCTGGCAACTGCCATTGCCCAATATGCTCCTGATGCTTTCGTTCTTGTTATTTCAAATCCTGTAAATTCTACTGTTCCGATTGTTGCCGAAACTTTCAAGAAAATTGGAGTCTTTAATCCAAAAAGACTTTTTGGCGTAACAACTCTTGACGTTGTTCGGGCATCCACGTTCGTTAGTGAGACCACCGGTATTGATGTTCGCGAAATTCGGGTTCCAGTTATTGGTGGACATAGCGGTATAACTATTATTCCTCTTTTGTCGCAAACTAAGCCACATCATAGTTTTACCCAAGAACAGATTGAAGAACTGACAAAACGAATTCAATACGGTGAGGTTTTTTATATTTACTTGGTTGTCATACGTCATGAAAAATTTATTTATTTATTCAAATTAAATATAGGTGGTGATGAAGTTGTAAAGGCTAAAGGTCAAGGTTCTGCCACTCTTTCAATGGCTTATGCCGGCGCTCGTTTTGCTTCGCATATTTTAGACGCCTCTGTCAAAGGAGTTGCTGGAATTGTTGAGCCTTCTTATGTTTGCCTTGATGTCGACACGGAAGGCGCCGTGCATATCAAAAATAATGTTGACGGCCTAGAGTACTTTTCTTCTAAAGTTGAGTTAGGAGTAAGTGTCTTTCATGTTTTATTTATTTATTTACTCCTTAAAATCGTTTTTATTTATTTTCGTTATATTTTATTTCTAGCCTAACGGAATATCCAAAATTCATCCTATTGGAGAACTCTCCGAGTACGAAAAAAAATTGTTGGAAAATGCAATTCCAGAACTCAAAACAAGCATCAATAAAGGGATCTCTTTTGTTGCCGAAGAGCCCCCTAAATTGTAATTTATATGAAATTATTGAAGTTATTCTAACTCATAAATAAAAAACGAAATCACGTCTGATAAATGTCGCGCCTTAAATAATTAAAGATTGAATCTTAATTAATTATTGTCAATGTGTATTTGATTTACAAAGTTTTGCTATTAATTATTGGTACACAAGTGTGAAAATAAATGTAAAAAGCAATATACTGTATGCAGTATATATTAAAGAGACATTAATAAATAATATTTTATTTTCCTGATAGATTGGTACTTGATCTCTATATTAGAATTACTGTCAACAGTTTGTTATTATAGATTATCTTGAAAAGTAATGAATTATTAAATTAAAAAAATTAAGAAAAAGAAAAAAAAAATAATCTAAAACATTTTTAAAATAATTTAACAATCTTTTTTTAAAACTATTTAATAAACTTAATTATTCTAAAAAGTAAGATTTTTTTAAAAATTTAGAAATTTATTTTTCAATTAATATACAATATATATAAGTTTATTATATTAAAAGAATTTATTTGATTAAAATAAAAAAAAACTTCTTAAAAATTTTTGTTTAATCAAAATAAAAACTTAAAATTTTAAATTTAATAAGAATAATAGAAGTTAATAAAAATTTTTTAATAAAAAAAAAAACTTTTAGCATTAATAAAGTTAAGAAAGAAGATTTCATATAAAAGACTTTCAATATCGATGGTGTTAAATATCTTAGGCAAGTTCTTAACATATTAGTTTTTTTATAAGGGATTGCAACAAGTTATTTAGTGAACCATAGTTCTAGAAAATGTAGATTTTGATAAATACAAATTTAAAATAATGGGATCACTTTATTAAATTAAAAGTTTAAACTTCTTAAATTATTTAGCTTTGTTATAGTTAAGAGATAATCTTATACTAGACAGTCATATAGTTATCCAATCCTGATTGAATAAGATATAAATAGATATCATTTATATTATTCTTTAATCTATAAATCCTTAATAGTATGAATAATTAATTATTCCAGTTGTCTTTAAGATTTATTTTATCTAAAATAAAGATTTAAAATTAATGCAAGAATAAATTAGTATTTAAAAAAAAAATTAATAATTTTTTTTATTTATTACTTATATTTTATTATTATTTTATTTTTCTTAAAAATTTATTTAATAAAAAACTCTTTCCATTGATTCTCCTTTGTTCTAAAAATTTTCTTTTTTGACAATTTTTTTGAAAAAGCAAATTCGGTTAAACACACAAGGAAAAACAACATATCTTTCAAATCAAGCTACCAAACTTTTGCAATACACATACAACCAGCCTTTTAGAAACATCAGGAAAGAGGTATACATTGTTTTACTAATTTTCTTTTACTTTCTTTTCTTAAAATTTTTTTAGGAAAAAGAAAAGAGACCTGTAAATTGATTTACAGTCAGAAAAAGGGAGCCAATATTAACTTTACACAGCTTACAGCCAGGCCAGTGCAGGTTAATACTGTGATAAAAATAGCATCTACTACCATTGGATAGTTATTTTTAGTCATGATCTTCATTCTATTTCTATTT